AGATAGATAGGTAGATAGGTAGATACGTAGATAGGTAGATAGGTAGATAGGTGGATAGGTAGATAGGTAGATATAGATAGATAGATAGATAGATAGATAGATACTTAAACAGATAGTTAGATAGATAGTTAGTTAGACAGATAGGTAGGTAGATAGATAGATAGATAGATGGACAATAGACGTCTCTGCACACGAGGGGTCCGTTCTTGTGATGTTGGTCTGTTGTGCTTCACTCGCACCTTCTGTCCGAAGGGACCTCGCTCGAGGGCTGCTTTGGGGCCACGATCTTCATCTTCGTCCAGGCTTCCTGGAACCTAAACACAACATTAATGATAATCAGAGTGACAATACTAGTAGTACCAAAAACCATGATACTGATAATGATAATGAAAAGCATGTAAAGAATGGAAGTAACAACTATGATAATAAGCATAATACTCTTTGGCTCTCCACCACCAGAACTGCGAACTGCGGTCAAAGGCACTCGGACCAGCCCTGCGAGTCGGCGCATGTACTGCATCCTCAGCTACTGGGACTGGCTTACGGGCCTTGCAGCTTTGGGGCGGTTACGGTTTACGGTTTATCGCGGTTTTTAGGGTTTAGGGTTTAAAGTTTGAATTTTCGGTTTCGAGGCTTCTGGGCCTGGCTCGCTCAGGATTTGTTCAGCTCTATATCCATGCTCTACGGCAGCAAGCTTGTTGTACCTTCACATACGGCACGTGCTTCCTGCTGTGAAACTTGAGAACACAAGTCTACGTTCGATAGTATCTGAGGCAAGTCATAGCCATGGCGCACGGTCATCGGCTGGGCATACTTTGGCCCCTTGTCTCCACGAAGGATGCCGGCTCCTCTGCGCAGCTTGCTCTCGCAACGAACGAAATGCCAGGTTCGTGCCGGCCGAAAGAACACACCCCACGCCCAGGTTGCAAAGTACCCTAAGCCCTAAACCCTTAACCGATTTGCAGATGCAATGTCAGAAACCGAAGAATCCCCGAGGGAGCTCCGGCAGTCTGACCTATGTAATTGACTCAATATACGTATTATGTGTGCATATACATGCATGCATACATACATACATACATACGTACGTACGTACGTACGTACATACATACATACATACATACATACGCATATATACATATATGTATATATATATATACATATATATATACATACATACATACATACATACATACATACATACATATATATAGGTAGGTATGTGTATGTATATATATATATATGTGTGTGTGTATGTATATGTATATGTATATGTATATGTATATGTATATGTATATGTATATGTATATGTATATGTATATGTATATGTACAGCAACAGCACTGCTTAAGAAATCACTGGTTTAAGAAATTGAGCCCCTCGGACAGCCGCGCGACAAAAGAAAATTAGAAAAATGCACAAATTGAGAATATGAAATCCAGGGTACCCTGACCTCGGCATGCCAATTTCATATTTTGCTCTTCTCGTTTTGTGTTCACCATTTTTTCGTGCAAAAAAGGCA